TGCTCTTAATTGCAAAGAAAGACTGAGATAAATTGAGAGGAAGAAGGAATTCCAGGCAGGAGAATGGCATAAACAAAAACCAGGAATACATAGGCATATCCATAGAGCAATGAGTAGACAGGCTAGTTTGTTTAGAATGAAAGTTTTCTATAGCAGAATATAAAATTGATGAAGTAGGTAGCAGTCAGCCTGCAGAAGCATTTAAATGTTAGGTAAAGGAGCTTGTGTTTTACCCTGTGAGTAGTAGGGAGCCTTACAGGATTTCAAAAAAAAAAAAAAAAGAGTTTTAAGGTGGGCTAGAAAGACTGATATGGCAAAAGTATGTAGGATGAATTGGAGACGGTGAGCTGAAATAGAAATCAATTGGTAGACTATCATAATCATCCAGGTGTGAGGCATTCGAACCTGGCTTAAGGTGGTGGCTAATAGAAGTGGGAATAAGAAGAAATTAATGAATTCAATAGACATTACATGGAAAGAATCAACAAGGCTTGATGACTGCCTAGACATAGATGAAAAAATTTGCAGGGTTGTCTCCTTGAGGTTTCAAGCCTCAGAGAGAAATAAGGAAGTCAGGAGGGATAGCTGATTTAGAGACAGATATTTGATGCAGTCGATTGTGTGCTAGGACTGCAATCTGGAAGGTCAAATCTGACCTCAGACACTTACTAGGTGTGTGAGCCTGAACAAGTCACTTACCCTGTCTGCCTCAGTTTACTTGCACAGGATTATGAGGAAAATGAGATAATATTTATAGAATCTTTAGCACAGTGCCTGGTACATAGTAGGTGCTTAATAAATACTTGTTTCCTTCCTGATTTTCAAAGAAAGATTTTTTCAGTGTTAGCAGAACAAAATTAACTTTGACAAGTTCAGTTAAAGCTTAGCTTTTCTTTTCTCTCCTACTCTATTGTATAACCACTACAAAACAGGTATTTTCCCCTAGAAAGTCAATGTTACATAAAGATCAAAGAGAGAATTAGTTACACATGACTATCATAGGACATTTTTGTAACTAGATCCAACCAACAACATTAAGTTGGTTATCAGTTACAATTTCACATTGCCTTTTTACATAAACTTTTCTTTTTAATGGTATGTCCTGCAATGGGATGTCATCTGTACAAGAAAGAATATCTATCCCTTGGTGTTAAAGAAGCAAACTGTTTGAAAACTCATCCTCTCCAACAGTTCCAAGGGGGGAAAAAACTTAGAACATAAATGAAGTAATAATTATTTTTAATGTTAGTAGTTGTGTGACCCTGGGCAAGTCACTTAACTCCATTGCCTAGCCAGAAAAAAAAAAAGAGTGAAAATTATCTATAAAAGTTTTTACTGGTTCTGGGTTTGACTAAATTTGAATAGGGAAAACTCCTGTCAATATATAGAGAGACAGATTTTGGGAATAGATCATAATATATATAAGTTTAGTTACACATAGTCTCCTTCAACTTTCTCCCTCCACTGGGAAATTTACATATGTTTATCATTTATAGTAATGGAAGAAAGTACTGACACAGATAATTTTTAAAATTTGAACACACATACTTTTAGGTACCTACAAAAAAAAAGTATGAAATTCTTCTAACAGTTAAGACATTGCAATAAGAAAACATTTAGGGCTAGGAAAGGGCTCTGGTCTTCAGTGTTGGGAAAAAAACATGCTTCCCTCCTTCTATCACCAAGTTACATACTTCCCTCTAGCTCCCTCGTCTCTACAAGATTCTATTTGATTGGTAACAGAAATTAAATAGAAGACTTTAATAAGGTTTATTTTTTCTCCTACACCAGAGTCAGGGACAATAAGCATGCACGAATCTAACAATATAACTAAGGTAATTAGGCCATATGGGAAGATATGGGATCAAAAATAAGTTAGAATGATTCTGTTAATCCTCAATAATTGGATAATAATAATCCTCTGGATAACCTCCTAATGGATAAATGGAACTATATAGCACTTTCTCAAATCTTAACTGTTCTTTCTCTTTTTTTATGTTATATTCTTATATTATTCCATGTGTTCATTCATTTATTCAATAAGCATTTGTAAATTGCCAGCAAGGTACAAAGTATTGCACCAGAAGAGATACTAAGACCTATGAAAAAGAGGGTCCTTGTTCTGATGGGGGCTGACAGGAAGAGGGATAATAAGAGATACAAAATAACTACAATACAATGTAGATGAAAGAAGGAACAATCATATATAATTTGGGTACAGAAGAATCAGGAAAGGCTTCATGGAAAGGTGATATTTGAATTGAGTGATGAAGAATAAGTAGGAGTTCAATAGACAGAGATGGGAGTTTTCAGGCCTGGAAAATAGCATGATCAAAAGTACAAAAGGGGGGCGGGGCAGCTAGGTGGCACAGTGGATAGAGCACTAGCCCTGGAGTCAGGAGGACCTGAGTTCAAATCCAGCCTCAGACACTTGACACTTACTAGCTGTGTGAGCCTGGGCAAGTCACTTAACCCCACTGCCTGACAACAACAACAACAACAACAACAAAGTACAAAAATGGAAAGACATATATAGAGGATAGCACATGGTAGGGATGAGCTTTGAAAGAACAGGTGGCTCAGGGTCAGACGGCTTGGCCTCAAATCCTACCTCTGGCACATGCCAGTTGTGTGACCCTGGATAGACTATTTAACCTACCTCTCTGTGCCTCTGTAACCTACCTAACTCTGTAAGATTATAAATTGCAAAGCAAGTGGCAGCCTGCAATGGTACTGGGAGCTGCACACCAGAAGCTTCTTAAACCAACTAAGACCAATCAAAAAAAAAAAAATCAGAAACTTGACACTTACTAACTGTGTGACCCTGGGCAAGTCACTTAACCTGGACTGCCTCAAAAAAACAAAAGGTCAAGCAGCAACAGCTTATGGAAGGTCTTAAATGCTAGGTTCAAGAGTTTGGGTTTTATTTAGGATGTAATAGGGAGTCTCTCCTCTCTTCAATCCATCCTCCACACAGCTACCAGAATCATCTGAGGCAAAAGGCTGACTGCATTGCTTCCTTATTCAAAAGCCTTCAGTGACTTCTTATTACCTCTACAATAAAATACAAAACTCCTTAGCCTGAGCTGTAAAGCCATCTATAACCTGTCTTTTCAGCTTTACTCCATACTACTTCCTCACAGAAGCAACAGAGTCCAGCCTTAATGGTTAGTCAGTTCCCAGACTCAACCCCCTCATCCCTCACCTCCACAAAGGCCACTCCTCCCCTCTCCCAGAATGTACTATCTCACACCCAGAATCCTTTGCTTCCTTCAAGTCTCACCTCACATCTGCTCTACCCTGTCAAGCTGAGCTCATCAATGCCCTACCCACCTCACAGCTGTTAATATGCTTTTGCTCCTCAAATTATCTTTCTATTTGTGGACATGTGTCTTCTAGTAGGACATAAACTGCTTGAGAGCAGGGGCTGGTTTCTTTTTTGTCTTTTTATCTCAGATACCTAGCACACAGTAACTGCTTAATAAATGTTGAATTGAATCCAAGGCTTTTGAGCAGGAGCGATACTAAATTTATGTATAAGAAAAATTAGTCTGGCAACTCTATAAAGTATGGATTGGAGGGAAGAGAGCCAAGCTACTACAACAGCCCAGGCAGGTGAAAATCAGGGCCTGTACTGGGTGGTGGTAAAGGGAATACAGAAAGAATAGATTCAAGAGATATTTCTGAAGTAGAGTCAACACCTGCTTAGGTATGGGAAAGAGAGAAGGAAAAGTCAAATGTTTCAAACATGTGATTACATGAATGATTAACAGAATCCAAAAGTATACATGTCAGGTTTTGGGAAAGGATAGAAAGTGTGATTTTGGATATGTTTGGTTTGAGTTACTAACAAGGTAGTTGGAAATGTCTCCCTGGCAGTTGGAAACGTGGGTTTGGGACTCAGAATAGAAATAAAGGTCAGACACAGAGATTTGTGAGTTGTCCATCCAAGAGGCAGCATGGAGTAATACACAGAATGCTGAAGTTGAAGTCAAGAAGATCTGAGTTCAAATCCTGATTCTAATACATAATAGCTGTGTGACCCTGGGAAAATCACTTAACCTCTCAGGGTCTCATTTTCCTCATATATAAAATGAGATGGTTGGATTAGATGGTCTATATGGTACCTTCCAGGTCAAAACCTGTGCTCCCCTGATACTAAGTAGATGTAATAGTTGATACTATGTGAGTGGATGATACTGATGAGGCAGAGACTTTAGAGACATAAGAAAAGAGGGCTGAGGTCAAAACCTTGGGAATAATACTCACTCTGAACAGTAAGGAAGAGGAACTAACAAAAAACCAAGGAGTCACTAGGAAGAGGGTGTGTGATGTCATGGTAGCCAAGAGAAGACTATCAAAGAGAAACAATTAATAGTATAGAAGTAAAAGAAGATGAAGACTAGAAAAAGCCATTAGTTTTAGAAAATGGGAGGTTACCAATAATCTTTGAGAGCTGTTTCAATAGAAAGATGAGGATGAATGATTGCAAGGAGTTGGAGAGTAGGTGGTGAGAAAATTCAGCAGCTACAGACTAATTTTTTTTCAAGTAGTTAGCAGGGAAGAGGAGGAAAGAGATAGTATGATAGAGATCAAGGGGTTAAAAGAAGTTCAGGTGGAGGACTGGTGAGACCTGAACATGTTCATAGTTAAATGAGAAGGCACCAGGGAAGAGAAAAGCTGAAGATACATGAGAGAAAGAGAAGGATTGATTAAGCAAGGTCCTGGAAGAAGTAGGAAGAAATGGGATCGAAGTTGAAGCTCATTAAACCTAAGGCTAGGAAAGTCTTAAGCTACGGGGCTGTGGGCTAAGTGAGGTCAGGAATCTGAGGACAAGAGAAGATGTGAACGCTGGCAAAAGAGTACAGAAAGTCTAGATTTTGGAGTAGAAACAAAGTTAGCATGTCTTGATTGGAACCAGGTGGTTTAAAGAAAATACAAATTCAATAGTAAGGTTAATACTTTTTTCAAAATGAAAAATCTAAAGGAAAATGTTTTACCTCAGTTTGGCTGAACGTAGTATTCTGGTCAGTGATACACAATTTCCTTCCATGATGCCCTTTCCAACTGTAGGAATAATACTTTTACGGCATGCAACATATAATGCACATGCCAACCAATGTACAACTTCTCCCTGTTAAGCAAGAGGCAAATAGTAAAATAGATATTTTTGCAGCTATGCTATTTTCAAAAGCACCATTCCATTATTTTATAAAAATTAAACCTCACAACCTACATAAATCATCAGTATTTCTATATATTACCCAACAAAACACTGTAGGAAGAGTTAGAAAGAGGAATTCCATTTAAAATAACTGCATATAATATAAAATACTTGAGAGTCTACAAGACAAAACAAACCCAGTAACTCAATGAACACAATTACAAAACACTTCATACAAATAAAGACAAATCTAAACAACTAGAAGAATATTAATTCTCATGGGCAGGCCAAGCCAATATAATAAAAATGACACTTCTACCTAACTTAAATTTATTCAGTGCCATACCAATCAAACTACCAAAGAATTCTTTTTTAGATCTAGAAAAAAATAATACAAAATTAATCTGGAAGAAAAAAAGGTCAAAAATATCAAGGGAACAAAAAAAAAGTGAAGGAAAGAGGCCTAGAAGGACCAGATTTCAAACTATATAAGCAGTAATTTTCAAAATAATCTGGTACTGGATAAGAAGTAGAGAGGTTGATCAAGGAATGGATTAGGTATACAATACATAGCAATAAATAACCGAGGTAATCTAGTGTTCAGTAAAATCAAAGATCCGAGCTTTGGGGGCAACAACTCACTATTTGTCAAAGACTTCTGGGAAAAAGGGAAAGCAGTTTGGCAGAAAATAGGCATAGACTGTTATCTCCCACCACGTACCAAGATAAGCTCAAAATGGATACATGATTTAGACATAAATATGTATATCATAAGCAGATTAGGGGAGCATGGAAAATTTTACCTGTCAAATCTATGGATATAGTAAGAGTTTATAACCAACAAGAGATAAAGTGGATCATAGAATGCAAAATGGATATTGTGATTACATGAAATTAAAAAAGTTTTGTACAGACAAAAACAATGTAGCCAAAATTTTAATTTATAAATTTACTCAAAGAATACAAGTTGCAAATTACAAACTGTTTGCCTCCCTTAAGTTGTGAAAATAAAATTTAATTTAAAAAAAAATAAGACAAAACCAACAACAAAACTATATCCCCTTAGTGATACCTTTATCTAGAAAATCTAGTGATGACAGGTTGGATACAGGCTCTGGGTAACTTTTTTCTCCCCACCTTCCTCCTTACCCAACACACACTCTGGGAAAAATAAGACAAAGGCAGATAGAGATGAGAACTAGAAAAGTCATGTTCCACAAGGAATAGATCTCTTAGTCTTTTTCTGTTTGGCAAAGGAATTATTCTGACAGGTTCAGGGAGAAGGTGGGAGGAGTTCATGTTGCTCACAGAACCACTGAGTGTGTAATAAGACACCTAGGTCATTTGGCTTCTGACGACTTCACAGCAGGCACTTAATAAATATTTGTTGATTGATTGATTAAAGAACATGAAAATATAACTCTCCAAGACATAATGTAGCCATGTACCTTTTTAGAAACATTCATCTAAAGATATATTATTATTGTTCCCTATACATTACAAACAACAACACAGTCTCAGATTTTCACAAGTGCCCTACTGCCACCACCAGCCATGCACATTCTCCCCAAGTTGTGCATAATATACAGACATAAGGGTATGTGGATTGCTGGAAGGAATACAGAGTGGGTGTGTGAATAAGCTAAGTGGCATAATGGATAGAATGCTGGACCTGGAGTCAGAAGACCTGAGTTCAAATCCTGCCTGAGACACTAGGTATGTGACTCTGGGTAGATCACTTAATTTCTATCTGTCTCAGTTTCTTCACATATAAAATGGGAATAAGAATAGCACCTACCTCACCTGATTGTTGTGAAAATCAAAGGAGATATTTGTAAAAGCACTTAATATAGTGCCTGGCATACAGACACTCAATAAACCTTTGTCCCCAAGCTACATATGGAAGAGAGTAGGAGCTGGTTGGGAAAGTTTAAGGATACAAAAAATGGAGAATGGTCTCTAAAAATACAGCCTTGTTATATAAAGTAATTCTCTACATGCTCAATGCTTCTTTCAGAGCATGTGACTTGGATTCCCTTCCAACCCAAGCACTTACTCAACTCCTCTACAGAAAATTGTTAGGCACTTTGAATTCAGAATACTGAGTTTACAGAGAAATTATTTGACATCCTTTCCTTCAGTATTAAGAGGGGAGTGAAAAACTACATCTCCCTTAAATTGTTGGCTAGTGCTTACAGCACCCCTGAGCCTCTACCCATAATAGCAATCAGTAAAGGCTACACCAGGAAATTTTCCTTTCTAATATACCAGGAAATCATCTAGTAACTGTCTAGTCAGCACTGTCCTCTGCTAAATAGAGAACATGGACATAGGGCATTAATATCTTTCATAAGTTCCTCTGTACTGACTTTGCATGTTCTTTCTGAATTAAATGTGCATTCTTGAAACATGTATGTATGTATATAAATTTTCTCTGGACTTAAAATTTTTTAAATGTCTTTGGTCAGTAAACAAATATGTCACTGAATGGGAATAGTATGTACAGTACCACAAACAAGCAGGCATTCAATAAGAGAAAACCACAGGACTTAAAGTCCACAACAAACTGAAACATAAGTTTCCAATAACTCACTCTTGCTTTTTAAAAAGAAGGTATTCACCAGTCCCCCCCAAAAGAATTTCATAAAATCATGGAAACTCATAGCTGAAAGGAACCTCGGGTCATTTGGTCAAACCTCTCACTTTGCAGTGTGATGTGGCAACCAGGAACACTAATGCCATAAGTTATAAACATAGTGATCCGAGTGAGGGAGGTGAGTGAATTCCCCTGTATTCTAATCTGGTCCCATTACTTCTAGAGAACTGGGGATTACAACCTTGGAAAAAAGAGCTACCTGGCATAGTGGATAGAGCGCTAGACTTAGGAGTCAAGAAGACCTAGGTTCGAATCCCACCTCTGACACTCACTCGCTGTGTGGCCCTGGGCTAATCACTATACCTCTTTTGAGACTCGTTTTCTTATCTGTAAAAAGCACAGATGGACTAGATGTATCAGTAAAAATGAAGAGGACTAGATGGTCTTTAAGGACCCTTCCAGCCCTAAATCTATGTTCCTACGAAACTTGAGATAAATCGATTCGCGAGCATACTACTATGTGCCCACTAATATTAAACACCTACAATGTGCCCAGCACTGTGCTAAGCGCTAAGGATATAAAGACAAAAAAAAAACCAAAACCCAGCTCTCAAGGAGTTGGGAGTGGGGTGAGGAGCCGGAGGGAGACAACCCGCAAACAATTATGTACAAACAAGACAGATACGGAATAAACTGAGGGCGGTCTCAGAGGGAAGCCTAGGAAAGGTTTCTTGCAGCAGGTAGGACTTCAACCGAGTCTAGAAGGAAGCGGGGGGGGGGGGGGGGGCGGGGGCGGGGGGAGTCCTGAGCGAGAAACAGCCAGGAAGAGGGTCACTCAGCCAGGGTCACTCAGGAGGAGCTGACAGCACTGCGGAGGTTTGGGAGAAAAGAGGACTGGGCTGGGCGGGCCCTGACGCCCCGACTACAGCATTTAAAGGGCTGTCAATGGGACGGGGGGGGAGGGGGGTAAGGGGAGACAGTGCCCGGCCCCCCGGCAGGACCAAGGGCCCCAGGGCGATGACAGCGGTGGATTTCGACTCTCCAGCCCGAGTCCTTGCAGCCGGGCCAGCAGCTGCGAGCGGGGGCCCGCGGGCCCCGTGAGGGCTTGGGGGAGGGGGCGCGGGCGCCTCCCCCCCCACCCGGCCTCGGAGCCCTGGCTCTCACCTCCAGGCTGTAGGTGCTGCGGATGGCCATGAAGTCGCCCAGGGCTTCGGCCGCGCTGCCCTCGTCTAGGTTCAGCTCCTGACAAAGGGCCTGAAGCGCCTCCCGGGCGGCACCAGCCCCGGCCGCCCCCAGGCCGTAAAGCTCGTCCTGAAACATCGCGCCTGAGGCCCCGGGCTTTGGCTGCAGGCGCTCAGCGCCTACGCCGCCCGCATCTGCCTCGGGCTCTCCGGGGCCACGGCTTCCCACAACCCCCCGCGCCAAAGCGCGCGAAAACTCTGTCCCGGAAAGGGGCGGGGCCTTGCGGAGCAGTAGGGTAGCCCTGCCCTGCGTGGCCCTTCTCTCAGGAGCCAGCCCAGCTCCCGGACCCCTCCTGCCTCCTCGGAACGCGGCAGGGAAGGGGGTTTCGGTTTTGGAGGGATTGACTAGTCTGTCCGAAAAGTTCAGAAGTCTGTCCTAAACTGAGCCTTCTGCCCTAGCGCCTACTGGGAATTGTAGTCCGCATCCTGTCGTGGCGGACGGGAGGGGTAGGGAAGGAGGGGAATGTCCGGGCTGCCAGAGCCGGCTGAGCCAAACTCGGGAACCCGGGCCTTGTTGGCTCAGTTCTTCCCAGCCGCCTGAGTCCCTTCTACAGAGATCCTACTCCAGGGATGGGCTAAATTTAGCTCCAGAAGCTTATTGTTAAAGTCAGCGTGAGCGCTTACGTCGAGAATGGCAAACGCTACAAATATCAGGGCTTGATTTGCTGTTTGGTTGTGTTAGGAAAGTGATGGAGAAAATGTGAATAATGCAGATTAAACTTAAAAGTGAGTAGGTAGCCGGTTGTTAAACATTTGCCTCGCCATCCCTACTGCGTCACCCGTTATCCAGGGCTATCAGGCAGCTTCTTCTGTGCGCCCTGGGGCGAGGATGTCTATGGGCTCGAAAGGCAGAGCTGGCCCGGGGATCTTATCCTCTTCTGTGTCACCGACCCCGCTGGCAGACCCCTTCTCAGAACAGTGTTTTAAAGTAATTGGGAAAAAAAATCGTATTTCAGATTAAGAACTGCAGTCCTCCACTATCTTCCTCTAAGGATGGGAGAGAAGGGAACTGTCCAGAGAAAAATTAAGCACAGGATGACGTGGTAAAACTGAGTGTGGGGGTGGGGGTTGATTTCTCTCTCCCCCCCCCCCAGGGATTCACCGAATCACCTATTATCAGGAGCTGGAAAGGATCAAAGAAGGAATCTGGTCCAACCCTTACTAGAGCAGGAATTCCCTCTACATCATCCATCCTTACATTTAACCTCCACCTGGAGACTTCCAGGGACAGGGAACTCACCATCTCCCAGCGTAGACCATTCTATTGTTGGACAGCTCTAAATGGACATTCTTACTTACATTGAACCAAAATCTGCCTTCCAGCTTCTTTAGGTTGGTCCTGATTTCATTTTCCTTGTCCAAAAAAAAAAAAAAACACTGATCAAGCTCCTAATTTTTATTTTTCAAACTTTACATTATATTCTATATAATCATTATTCATTTTTTAAAATCCAAAGGCTCTGCAGCCAATGAAGGGTTGCTGAATAATAGGTAGCATTTACATAGCGCTTTAAGGTTTGCAAAACCGTAACTCATTTTATAGGTCTGTGTATGTATACATGTATACATATATGTGTATATGTGTGTATACATACATATATGTAAAGTGTGGCATATATCTAAAGGTTAACTCATTTGAGATAGGTGCTATTATCATTCCCATTGTACTGAGTCAGTTAACTAACGTTTATTAAGTGCCTCCTTTGTTCCAGGCGCTGTGCAAGTGCTGGAGAGCAGGAAGAAAAGCAAATAATAGTTCCTGGTCCCAAGAAGTTCACCAGGGAGGGGAACAGGTAACATGTAAACAACCATGTATGAATATAATATATGCAGGGTAAACTGACAATCTCAGAGAGAAGATCCTAAGATTAAGGAAGATTGGGAAAAACTTCTTGAAAAAGGTGGGATTTTAGCTGAGACCAGAAAGAAACTAAGGAAGCCAGGAGGCAAAGATAAATGAGGAAGGAGAGAGGTTCAGGAATGGTGAACAGTCAGTTAAAATGCTCAAGAGTAACAGAGTGTATATGGGGGGATGAGGTGTAAGAAGACTGGACAGGCAGGAAGAGGTGAAGTTATGGAGGCCTTTCATAAGAAAATGAAGAAAATGAGACCAAGAAAGGCTAAGTGACTTGCCCAGAGTCACTCAGCTAGTATCTGAAGCAGGCTTTGAATTCAGGTCAATCCTGTCTCTAAGTCTAGTGCTCTAGCTACTATACCACCTGGCTGCCTCCAAATCAACAATCATAGGATTTAGGGACCAAACCCTTCAGTTTGAGGCCTGGGGACCTGACATCAAAAAGTTTGTAAGCCACAGAGTTAGGGTGTGAAAACAGGACCTCTGATTCCAGGTAAGATTTTTCCCTTATCCCAGACTTTATCTTAGAGGAGTTGTTTAAAATGAGACAGAGCTACTTTAAAGGCTTATGGTAGCTGATTATCTTTACGCAGGATACAGTGAAGGTGGAACTAGGGAAAATCAAGTAGAAGATAAAAAGGAAGTATTTGACCAGCTCTTAGCAACTACTTCCAAATCACTGTCCCTAATTGAAAAACAGTTTGATCTTCCATACTCCATGGCATGTAGCTAGTGGTGAAGTGGATAGAGCACTGGGCTTAGAATCAGTAGGACTCATCCTTATGAGTTCAAATCTGGCATCAGACATTTACTAGCTGGGTGACCCTGGGTGAGTTACTTAACCACATTTACCTCAGTTTCCTCACATCTATAAAATGAGCTGGAGAAGGAAATGGCAAACCACTACAATATCTTTGCCAAGAAAACCCAATATGGGGTCACGGAGAGTTAGACACAACTGAAACAACTCAACAACACTCTGTGGTATAAAATAAAAAAGAAAAGGAACTGAAAAACAAAAAAAAATCAAAGGATACACTGCTAGAGCTGTCAACTAGAGGAATCATGGTATCCATTAGGGAAGAGACTAGCTGGAAGTAGGGAAATTCTTTGGAATTTCCATGGAGGTATCTTTCATGCTTTCATTTCATCTAGACTGCAACTACAGATATGGTTCTTGAAAATGAACCAATTTCAAAAGAAGCATTCCAAGCAAAGATCACAAATGTAACAGAGGAAATTAGAGATTTGTTGTGCTTGTTCTCTTCGGGACTGGGAGATTTATTAAACACATCCTATGTACAGAGAATTATGTTAGTCTTAGGAAAGATGCAACATTAGATAAGACAGTTCTAATGGACTTTAATAGTCTAGTACAGAAATGTGACACATGCACAAATAACCAAAGGACACAAAGCATGCTATAGCAAAAAAAAAAAAAATCCTAGCTGTGACTTAGCTCCCTCCCTAGAAGGAGGGAGGGTCTTACTGAATGGGAAAGTCAGGAAGTGTTTCTCAAAGAAGGTGGCACTCAATTTCGGCATTAAAAGACAGGTAGGGATGCAATAGGTAGAAAGAAAGAGTGAAGACGTCCTAAGCATGGGGGAAGCATGAACAAAAATAGGCAGGAAAGTGCAAAGCCTATACTGGAGGCAATGGTTGATTGAGTTTGATTGTAGCATGGACTATGTAAGTATAGGGAGGAGTATGAAATAAAGTGAAGAGGTCTAGTGGTGCCAGACTGCTGAAGTCTTTGGAACTGGTACATGACTAGGGACAAGTCAATAATAGCATGCTTACTCAATGAAATAGCTCTGTTTTTCTTATATGTTGTCTTAAATGTTACCTTTGACTCTCATTCACCCATTGCCCATTACTATTATCGGTTTGATTCCTTTGCTATGTCTCTGAAGTTTATCTACTCCACTGATCTCTGCTTTGACCATCACACAAGACCAAGAACTGGATATATGCTCTATGGTTTCTCCTACTCCATACTACTCACTAGTCTAGGAAAAAGACCCTCCAGCACTCTAGAGCTAAGCTATTCAGGCTTGGAATGAATACTATGTAGAACTGAGTTGGGCTGAACTAAACTGGCTGAGGGTGAGTACCTAAAATATGCCATATCCCTCTATAGCTAATGTGACCCCAGGTCTACATTTACCTTTGCCTTGACTATCAGGCAGGACCAAGAATCAGACACCTGCTCTACCTCAAGGGTATATACCCCCCCATCTTTTTGTCAAGGACTGATAATCGAATACATTACTACTATTGCCTCATGATTCAATATCTCTGTGTTTTAGTTGGGTGGGTAGGCTGAAGCTCCTTCTCTCACTATAATTCCATGCTTCCTCATATCCATCCATGGTAGTCCCAACCAAAACTCTCTGGGGTCATTAGTCTATTTTTTTCTACTCTTCTATTGTATCCAGGCAACTGTTGGTACAGCAAATACAGCACTGAGCCTGGTGTCTGGAAGATCTGTGTTCAAATCCAGCCTCAGACACTTACTAGCTGGGAAACCCTGGTTAAGTCACTCAACCTGTTTCCTCAATTGCAAAGTGGTGATAATAATGCTTACCTTGCAGAGTTGTTGCGAAGATAAAATGAGATAATAATTTTAAGAACACTTAGCATGGTGCCTGGTATATCATAGGCACCATATAAATACTTATTCATTTCTTCCCATTCCAGAACTCCTGTCTTATTGGTAACATTGTTCTTTATATTAGACCAATACCCCCCAATACCTAAAATTGCTTTGCATACCTTTTGCATTTATATGTGTATATATTATTTCTCTCCAAGAGGCAGGAACGGCTTAATTTTATCTCTGTAGTCCTCTTCCCTATCAGAATGCCTGGCCCGGTATAGGCCCTGTATGGCTTGTTAAATTAAACTGGATCAATCCTTTCTCTCCATTTCTACCCCCATGCCACTTGGTTCAATTCTCGTCATTTTTCCAGATTCTTGCAGCAGTCACCTCATTCACCTTTTTGCCTCTAGTCTTTTCCCTCTTCTAACAAAGTACATATCCTGATTTCAAGGTAATCATTCTCACCCTGCTTTTATCAGCATACTCCCTGTTCAGGAATCCAGCAGCTCCATTGTTAACCTTTCCAGATCAAGCTTAAACTTAGCCTAGCCTGGAGGCTCTTTGCTGTCTGACTTCATTTTTCAGTATTCATGTCATAGTGTCTAGGTTGTAGCCAGGCTGGTTTTTCCCTAAATATTACTCATACTTTTCCTTATGCCTAGAATGGCTTTTATACCACCTTAGTATTGGCTTTTGTCACTTCTTTGACTCACTTTTCAGAATAATTCCTTACCTTGTTTTGAGTTCCTTGATACATACAGGTATATTAAAATCCATTACCTTTATAATCTCTAGTTGATGGAGTTCTATCAGTCTTACCCTAACAGAACATAAGTTCCTTAAAGGCAGGATCTGTTTAACAGTCGCCTTTGTAAACCCAGTTCCCAGCATATACTAGGTACTTAATAAATGACTATGGATTGATTTTGGTTGCTGCCTAAATCTCTACTTGGCAAAGCTGCTTGACAGTAGGGATTCTGTTTTCTACATCATTATTATCCTTCTTTGGGACCCCTCCCCCCCAGCATGGAGTACAAGCCTAAATCTATGACACATATTTTAATAATCACATATAAAATGAAAGGGATTTTTCCATAAACACATCTTGCCTATTACCTTAGAGCTTTGCCCATTTTATCTAATATGAGAAGCCTAGGCTTTCTGAATAGAAAAGAATAGTGAAACGAATCTGCCCTTGCATTGACTCCTGGACCTAAATACAGACACCATTACTCATCATGTATATTGCTATATTTATTTAATCCCTCAAGGAGCATCTACTAGTGGAGTTACATAGTTACTGTTACCATATTTAATATTTCAGTGACACTTTAGAGCAAATGCAGCATTTCCCTTCAGAAAAATCCAAACACCTGACATTCCAGCATTCAAAAACGGGCAGTTGATCGTGGCAGGGGAGGGGCTAGCTCTGGGGACTCACCATTTTTGCTGGGAGGGGAAATCGGCGAGGTAGTTTTTGAGAGGACAAAACAGTGATGGGTTTCTACAATTGGCTTCTTGGCAGTTACAATTCTTGAATTCTGGATCAACTTTTATTTTCATAGTCTTTGAGCAGGAAAAAGATAAACTGAAAAGCACGTAGACTTAAAAACAATACAGTTACATTTTCTTAGGCCACTGCCCAACAAATCAAAGGTCATCTCCAGGGGATTCCTTCTGGCTGCTAAGATCTTGAAGCAGCTTCTAATAAACTTTTCCTCTAATAAATTATCTAGCCACAGAGGGCATAAAGAAGAAGATACTTCCAATTAGCATTTGCTGTGTTTAATTTCAAAATTAAGGAGGTAAACTTCCCTTACCAAAGCCTCAAACCCCAACTTTGCAGCAACAGCAGGAGTCACTTAGAGAATTAGATATCAGTCTGGTGTTTAAGTTCATTTAGGAATCATTCGAAAAGAGCAAAGAAATCAGTGTCTGAGAAGGAATGTCAAGCTTTAGGATACAACAAGCCAAATTATCCAAAAATTTCCCTTCACTTTCGAGTACTTCAAGACACCCCAATTAAGAGGAGCTTTGGAGTGTTTTAGGCTTTTAAAAAGGCTACATATATGTAACCTATTTCTTTCATTCTTTTCCTCCCATACTAGTTTAACAGCCAGCCAGCCAGCCAAGCTGCTTCCCACCCTAAACGATCTAGTTCATCCTCCTTTTTCACCACAGTTCTTTGACCTTTTCCTTTTGTTTTTTGGATGAAAGTGAAAAAAAAAATCTGCTGTATAGAAACTTTGTTAAATTGCTTGACTTTACTGGAATGATTAGAATTAGGCATAAAATTAAAAGTGGGCCATCCTACATAATGTATATGAAGCATTTATGTTTCAAGTATTTTATTGGCAAGCACAGTCAATGTAAAAATAGCACATGGAGCTTCAAATATTGCTATTATTTAATACACGAAGGCAGTCTCTTTTTGGCCCTTTTTAGGTGGTGAAAAATAACATCTTAAAATATAAATGTTCATATCTAAAAGCAAATTCATTTATCACTACATGCTAAGACACACACAAAAGGGATCACTGCCAGTTGGGTCATGGTATTAATATGAATGAGTTCTATTCTGTTCTTCCTTTAATACTGTACTTGAGTATTTTCACATATCTGGCAACTGATTATAGTGAACACTTCACAGTCTTTCAACAAACAAAAGAGTTTCTTCCTTGAGAGACCTTTCTCAGTCAGGTGCAGATATGGGTATTTTGAGGGTTTTTTCTTTTTGTTTTTTTTTAACATAAATTTTATTTTATATTCCACTGACAAATACATGTATACAAATACATGAACAAGAGCATAAAAAAATAGGAAGAACAAACATGAACGCAAAAGGAAATAAGAAAAGATTGTAAATGACTGCATTTGTCTGCAATTTGATCACTTACTGATCATTACCCCCATCCCAAAATGTCTCTATGGACTTTAACACAGTAGTACTAGCCACATAGTCCATCTTTTCTTGATCCTGTTTAATGTTGAGGCAGGGACTGTTGCCTGGCCTTGCAGATAGTAGAAGCTTTCTAAATGTTTATAAGAATAATCTTAAATCTTAAACAATGTTCAGTTAGGCATGATGCATTAGTATTTTGGTCTTGTGCACATGTGGTTTATTAGACTGCAAGCTCCTTGAGGGCAGGGAATTTTTGCCTTTCTTTGAATTTCCAAAGTTTAGCACAGTAGGTAGCTTAAATGCTTGTTGATCTGGTTTTTAGTTTAGACTAATGGACTTTGGAGATGCCTTCTCAGATGCCAGATGTATAATTACTGAGACACAACCATTTTAAAGCCCTTTGGGCTTTGGGAAAATTCTAATGGACACCAGTACCCTGGGATCCAAAGCAAAAAAGATTAAAGTCAAGAATATACCTTTTGTTCTTCCTCTCCTTTTAAAGGTATCTTTAACATAAATATTTATCAGCATCTTTTCTATTCATTCCCTACCTCAACTTTCCCTTTCTCCTCTCCCAATTTTTTCCCTTGTCCCTGTTTTTTTCCTCTCCCCATCTTCATCCCACTCACTATTTCTGTTAAAAAGATGACTGTTTTTATCTGAATGATCTTTAGTTTCCACAGAAACCATTTAAAATCAGGTTTGTCTACGCAGGAAGTCAGAGAATGCATTATAAGGGCTAAGGGAAGTGAAGAGAAAAATGAAGATATTCAATAAATCAATAAATTTAGTAGTAAAGCACTCAGAAGAGAGAGAAAAAAATGAGATGAGATGTCATTCCACCACTGGAAGGGCCTATTTTCACCCCTTTTTTGTTGCCTGAAGCATTCTAAGATGGGACTAAAATCAATCTTTTAATTTCTCTCAAGATAATTTGTTCTTTTCCCTCTCCTCTCCTTTCATCTCTTCTTCCCTTCCCTCTACTGCTTATCAGTATATAGGTGATTTAGGGTGAAAGGAAGTTGGCAAATTCTGGTGATGATTAAGGTTCGTTTCAGACACAGTTGGCTTTAGGAGTAGGCAGAGTAGGTACTTGTATATATGATGTTTCACAGACAGTAGAAAGCCCCCATGCAAAAAAGAATAAAAAACAAAGAAAACCCCAACTCCCGCCCCCCAAACTCTTCTTGGTTCAAGAATACTAGGAAATTCCTCAATTAAAGATTAATTCCTTTTACTTAGGGATTTACCTCTTATTAAAATGCAAATATGCCTTAAAGAGTTAACATATTAAACTCTATAACTATTCATTTTCATCTTAGGGGAAATGAGTTTATAATTCAAAGATTTGAGTTTGTCAATACTTTACCGAGAATAGATTTTTGTAGGAGAAAAGAAGAGAATGAAAAAGGGCACTGGGGTATGGAATGGGAACGAGTAAGGAAACTGAGGCTAGAAGTGCCAAAGACAAACTTTATCTATTTCATGGTTTTGCCTAAAGCCTGCCCTGATTACAGGGCAGGGTGATTGAGAGAGGCAGTCAGGGTAATAATGTTGGTGGGAAGAACAGTGCAGTTTTTGTCCAAGATATCCCAGTTTTTCTCTCTTTTCTCATAACTCTATTTCAACAACCTCCTAATTTGTCTCCCTGCCTTCAATACATCTTCCAGACATGATATTCCTACTGTATGGGTCTGATCATGACAAATACCCTACTCAAGAGCTACTGCCTCTAGGATAAAATACAAACTCTTCTATTGGTCATTTAAAGTCTTTTACAGTCTGGTTCCAAACTATCAATCCAGAAGGATACTACCAACCTGGGCTACTTGGTGTTCCTGTCTTAGGTGGATTTGTATCCATAATGTTTAGCACAATTCCTAGTACATAGTGGGTACTTAATAAATGTTTATTGCTTGCTTGTTTTTATCTTGCAATTATACAAAATAATTACTACTTATATAGAGATTACATTACAAAAGGGAGGGGAAAGCCTCACATAAAAGAAAAAACATGAGTTGACAAAAAGCTTATAAAGATATTTATTGTTTAAATATTTAATGTTGTGTTACAGTAATGGCAATGTGCAACATAATGTTTTAAGTTCAATACACTGAAGTTGAACAAAATGAAAATTCCAGAAATTTTTGTTTAGAGCACAGAGATTTCATAAGGGTTAAAAGCCAATTCTGGGAGAAAAAAACACAATCTATCTATAAAAATAATAAAAATTTTGAAGTGAACAGATCCTTCTGAAATCTCTAATGTAATTTTTATTGAGTACTTCCTCAACCTTTCTAAATAGCTGAAATACAGTAGTCCTAAGTGACATAAGTAAAAGCTTCTCTCAAGTAAACTACACAAAAATCATATATTGAGTTCTTTCCTCCCTGTTGGTGGTATAGCCTATGGAGAAAAAGGCAATAGTAAGTCTTGAGGCTTCAAAAGTGGCACCACACAAATATAAGCAGAGAGGTTCTCCTGTACTACAGAAAGCTACCCAACCCCTCCTCCCTGGACCAGGGCATCCCAAATTAACTAGACTGGAGTCGCTCATTATTGTAACAGTGTTTACCTGCTATGACGTATCTATCTGGATTTTCCAGCAAATCCAGCACAGGTCCAAAATGTAGCACTTTTTTCATTACTTCCTCAAACAGAATCTAAAGTTTGCCCTACCCTATACTACTATTCTAACTCCTCAGAGAATTTGCAAGAAAGATGTCCTATCATTTAAATAAAACAGTGGGTATCCCAGATCATTCACTGCTTTTGTTAAGTATGAAAAAGACAGGGGCGTCAAAGCTTCTATCTGTGGATAGAAGATACATGGATACATGGAGCTGGCTCTCACCTGATGTTTGTGGGTTCCAAGTATTTCTAATTATGGATATAGTTGAAAAGATTCCTGAGCCTACACATTACAGGTCTGGGTTCTGATTCTACACCTGCATTTTGTACTCTGCAAAGGGCCTGGGATGTGATGATACGCACAGAAGGCTCAGAGTCATGCAGCAGAGGTCTCAGAACTAAAGAAAGAGAGAAATGCTGATTAAAGGCTCAGTCAGACTTACATTCTTTGATTCAGACGTGGGACCACTGGTCCCTACATGGTATAGGAGAGAACACAGGACCCCACCAATTCCGAACACTCCATGTGGTTCACCTCCTACCTGGCAGTTTTATATCTTTCTGACTCATGAAACATACAGAGTCTAAAAAAGATTCCACCTTCTGCCAGTTTTATGTCTATATACACATAGATGTCTTGGTCAATCCCAAAGCAATTATTTGTATCCTCCATATGTGTCAAACATTTATTTAACACTTTATTCTGAGTAATAATTACATTTTCAAGTAACAATTATATTGCCAAATTATCTATTCATAGGAATGGTCTATTTATTAAATTATATTCTTAAATTTAGAAACACAATGCAGGTGGGATTGTAAATGAACATATTCATTCACTGTTGGTGGAATTGCCAACTAATAAAATATTTTTGCAGAGCAATCTGTCAACATATGGTAAAAGTTATAAAAATAATCATACACTCTACCTCAATAAAATTCCCAGGAGTTTCTGGGAATATATCTTGAAAGTTTTATAATAACCAAAAAAACCCACCTATCTGTTCCAAGATTTCATAGCAGCATTATATGTAACTGTAGAAACAAAAACAAACAAAAAACAACTGGAAACAACCTAAATGTCCAACAATAGAGGAATAGTTAAATAAATTGTGGTACATTAATATAATTGAATAGTATAGTACAATATTGACAAATATGAGGAATACAAAGAAATCCTCAAAGAACTCTATGAAATAATGCAAAGAAGAAAAAAAAGAACCAGGAGAATGAAATATATGATAATCTCAACCAAATAAGAAAGAAAGTGAATGAGAATGAATGGACAAGGAATCATGATAAAGACTTAGAAGAAGAGACCGAAAAGTTGTTATGATGCATTAATTTAAATGTAAATAAGTTCTAAGGAAATTTGTTGTATTCATATTCATTGTTAAGATTTTCATAAAACTTTTAAAAGACTACATCCTTAATGATTATCTTTGTGTCCCTAGACTAAGGACCTCTCTCAAATCTTAATTTTTTTGTCTATAATTTTTCCAGGTCTCAAGGCTGATAGAAGGAGTCAGTGATTAATGATTAGGGAGAATGATCCCAAGTGGATCTCGATGTTTACTTTTGAAAAGTTTGCTTCACAGAAATTATTTTAAGATGTTTTAATAAAAGAGTTGCATTTTTTATTTGTTCATCCCAAAGAAACGGAATGTTATGGTTCTAATCTGGTTCTCAGATAAGGCTAATAAAGCCAAGTATAGTCTGAACACTGAGATCATGATATCTAGTGGCAGCATATTCTAATTGCAAGAAAGGTACCCAAGATCAAAGGCTCTTGATTGCTGAAACTGCAAAACTATAAAATGACAACAAAACTTCACTCTAACAACTTAAGTGTATGGCTGCCCTTTACAGGTGCAAATTTCCCTATCTCCTTACTGGAAAATTACCATTGATTCACTAGATATAACTAAGTAGTCATTTAGGTTGTGAACCATTCTTTGGAAAGCCTCATCATTTTCGCAATAGGGTTCCTAAGTAATGCCTCACATCTAGCAGGCAGATTCTGGAAAATCTCTGAATCAGACAGCAGAATAGGTTTCCAGATATATTGACCATGCCTAAGTAATGAATGGTACCAAGACTAAGACAGCTTAAATCACTGAAATGGATAGCAGTGGATGATTCTTTGGCGATTTCATCTACTTTCCTGATCTCAATTATCACCTATGCTAATGATGCCCCCCCTCAAATTATATCTCCACTCTCATCTCCAGAGCTCTAGTACCATATTTCTAACTGCCCACTACATATTTTTACCTAGATCCCACCAATACCTCAAATTCAACACATCTAAAACTGAATTTATCTTCCCCTAAAATCTTCCCCTCCTTCTAACATTTGTATTTCTGCTGTTCACTCAGACTGGTAACCTTAATGTCATTTTTGATTCTTAACCTTCATTCGACCTCCCATATCCAACTGATTGCCAACTCCTATCAATTCTACCTTTGTAATCAAATCAGCCCACTCCTCTAACTGTCCAGGCCTCATCTCTTCTCATTTAGACAACTATAACTTCTTAATTGTATTGCTTCCTCCATCATATCCCCTCTACAATTCACTCTTAATATCACTGTCTGAAGAATATTCATATGAGATAATGCTTATAAAATGCTTTTTAAACCTTAAAGTGCTACATAAATGTCAGATGTTGTTATGATTAATGTTATTTTATTCTTCTCATATAGAAATGGTCCTGGGATAATTCATTATCTTGCTATATTAATTCTTGAATGTTCTACAGATGGATAAAATAACTGCATTTTGTAGTTGAATAAAAGTATTAGGATGCTAGCTCATTCTCTGAGGGTTCACTGACAACATCCTTGGTACAACTTGAATAGCAGACATGGCAACAGAGATAATATGTACCTCATTTTGTTTCCATGTGATTTTGATATGTCTGCTAGGTGACTATATTTTGAAAGCTATTGGTTCCATGAACCTTAGAGATTTGGTATGGTAATATGTATTAAAATGGCTCTTCTTAAGTTTTTATGGCTTAATGTTGTGTCGAGGCAACTGTGGGCAACGGGTTAATTTATGATAATGGTCTAGCCAGTCAGTCAATAAACATTTATTTTATGTTCCCATTCCAGTATAATTTACTGGTTGAGTTCTTCAGGATATTTTGAAGTCCGTATTTATTGTATAGGGATTTGTCATCTGTCCATCTGATGTATAATTCTAAGCCATCAGGTCCTTTTTCACTAGGTGTTTAAAAGGTGCTAAATCTTTATAGCTCATAATGAGATATTGCAGTTTCTACCATTCTCTTGAATACTCCAAATTGATTAATAAATCGGGGCTCCTTAAGGATAACACTACTGTAGTTTTGGATGGCAATGACTTACTTCTGAGTTGCCATCATAAGCTGATCCCTCTGTTACTACAAACAAATCTGCTGGACTCAACTTGTTGTGGTCACATTACCCCTCTACTAAAAAAACTTTCAGAGGCTCCCTATTGCCAAAGTATAAACTCCTGAGTCTGGCATCCAAGGTCCTCCATAATCCAGTTTCCACCTTGCCTTCTCAGTATTCTGTCATCCTTCTCCCCTCCACATATACTATGTTCCAGGCAAAATGGATCCTTTTCTATTCCCCATTCTTGTCCTATTCTCTCCTATGTCATGCCTTTACTTTTTCCCATTCCCTATTCCTAGAATGAGTTCCTTCTCTCCCCTACCACACTTTTATCTATTAAAGGTCCTCCCTTCAAGGACCAACTAAGGTACAATCTTCTCCATAAAGCCTTTCCCATGCTCCCAGTTGCATGTGATTTCTCCCTCAGTCCTCAAAACTTCTGACAGAACATTGCCTGGACCTTTCCTTTGTACTGACTACACTATCTTACATGACAGATATTTGTGTATATACTTTTTCTCCTTTATTAGACTCTAAACCCTTGAGAGCAGGGCTTATATCTATCTTTATATTCCCAGCATTTACCATGGTGCCATGCAATAGCAAGTACTTAATAACTGTTTATCGAATTGAATTGGAGGCTATCAAAATGCTGCAAACATGGTAAGACTCATGCTTTGGGGATCAAAGTTTCTCAGCCTTACCTTGCAGAAGATCTTCAGTAAATTAAAACAACTATGTATTTCCATCTAGTCTAGATTTCCCAGACATTGCCCCAGTCAGCTTCAGAAATATATATGAACTTCAAACTCTCAAGGGTTATCACCTACCATCCTCTATCCACTCAGTCCCCTTCATACGGAGTTCACTGTGGTCCATGTACTTAGCTAAGAGCCCTAGATTAGGAGAAAAACAAACAAAAAAAATCACTTATTTGACTTTGTGCTCTTGGAAGTAGATAGTAAAGCATTTCTCTCTTTTAAAAACTAAACAGTTTACAGATAATGAAACTAAGCAGTTTGACATAACTAAGCAGGTTCGTAGAACTGGTGTAAGATGCCAGGATCTGGTAGTTAGTCACAAAAAACCCAGCTTTCTTTCTCCCAGAAGTCTCTTCCATAGTAATTATCTTCAGGGATGGGAATAACAGAAAACACAGGGAAAGTTTAAGAAGATGCACTCTATCCTCATCTCTGCTTCTAAGAATGCCTTAGCTCAAGTGCCACCTCCTACAAGCCTCTCCTGATCCTCAGCATCAGTAGTACTCTCTTCCCTGAAAGCATTTTGTGTATATTTTATATTGACTTATTAGTCAAGTTTCCTTCCCCCCCCCAACAGAATGGAAACTCCTTGAAAGCAGGGGCTACCTCACTTGTCTTTGTATCCCAACACCTACCATAGTGTCACACATATAATGGATACTTAATAAATGCTTGTTGGATGAATGAATGAATGAAATTAACTATAGAAATAAAATAAAATTATTTTCTGGTCACCTGTAAAGAGAACTGCTGCCCTTCTTAAATGGACTTGATGGTTTTGGGTATACTTCATGGTCTGCATCATAATGTTATATTTTCCCCTACATTTTTGTTCCTGGGGGGCAAACGGGAGGGGAAGAAGAGGCATAATAAGCAGTGTCAATACAGATGCAATCTTTATAAACATCATTGCTGCTTCCCAAGGACACAGACTATGTTACATGTGTGGTTATAAAAATAAATAATAACAAATCCCTAAACACAAAATAACAGATCTCCACATCTTTGTTCATGATGCTCTGAAATGCTCTCTCCATTTTTCTCCACCTATCCTTGAAGGTCCAGCTAAAGTCTTTCCTCCTGTATTATAAAACTTTTCTTGATGGCTACAGCAATCTCTCCCTTCTCTGAACCTCTGCGATACTTTTTGTCTATCCCAGTTATTTGGCACTTAATCATTTATTTAACTTGACATTCATATTTAACTTTTTGTGAATATAGGCAGAATCTGTGTCTTGCACTTCTTTGTATCCCTCACAGCTGCCAGCACGGTGCCACTATAGTAAAATGAACTAATGAATGACTATAAATGAATGAACAAATCTCAGACTCTCCATATGCCATCCTGCAGAAGAGATTTAGGTAGGGCCTCTTGCATTTCTTAGCTATAGCTTGAATATAAGTATGAACAAGGCAAATCTTATCTGTACTCTGAGAATCTCAGGGATATCACTGATTAATTTCATTCATTTATTTTCATTTGCATTTATTGAGCAACACCAATTTTTTCTTTTTCTTTTTTCCCCCAAGTCTAGAGCTCTTTATTATTAAAGTATAATAACTAACATTTATATAGGTTTGCAAAGCATTTTACATATATCTCATTTTATCCTCACAACAACCCTGGGGAGGTGGGTGCTATTATAAATGAGACAAGCAGTTTAAGTGACTTTCCCAGAATTACAGAGCTAATAAGTAGAGACTTAATAAATCATTGATTGCTTGATCCTAGTTCTGCCATCCAGGTCCAAACAAAGTAAGGCTGTCTTCTATGTGCCAGCCCTTCAAGTATGTGAAGCCTTTAGGTTGCCTGGTGGATAGAACGCTAGACTTGGAATCACATATGTATAAATTCTTCACCAACATGAATCTTAATAAAGTAGATTATTCCAACAACCACTTGACTTTTAAATTCCATAATCTTAAAAACTGGAAACTTCCTATTTTCTTTCTCTTCAAGTTGTGTCTTTACCTTGTCCACATTCTGCTGCGTTTCAGCCGTGGCCAGTTTGGCAGTCAAAATTCTTCTGCACATCATCCTTGCAAGTTTAATGGTGGACACAGAGTAAGGGATGGAGGGATGGAAGTAGTGAGAACACTACCATTTTTTTCCCTAAACAAAATAATGTTCATTTTCTAATTCTTCCTCTTCTTCTTAGAATACTTTTCTGCTCAAGGTGGTATCCTTGAAAAGTCTTTTGCTTAGGGGCACTTTAAGTTTATGTCATAGACATGGGAGTTTATTAGAGTTTATCTAAGAGTTTACTTTCGAATTCACTTCCAAAGTTGGGATATAATTTAGAAATATATAATGTGTGAAAAGCTACATTCTACTTAAATAGAAAAAAGTACCAACTGACCTACATTAAGGGGTAGGAAATAGATCATACAAAGTAGACATTACATAGAAGACATGTTAACTGTCCTCTTGGAGCTTACAAATCAACCCAGATAAGACATTTAAACCAATTGTCTTGCACTTGCTACTATAAAAGTTGGTTCTCTGCTATATTTAGCATTGATATATTGTCATATTGACTTAGTAACAGGTCAAAAGTACAATATCCAAACAAAGTACCTAAGCCAGTAGACTTCACCCTAGCTTCTTGTGAATTTGTCTTAGGATATGCCCTATGGGGTCCCTCCAGCATTTAACTATGCTAAGTAGACTACACTGGGCCTACTTTAAGCAGTAATCTAGAGGATCCCTGGAGGAGGCTGGCTTAGATGAAGGAACTTCCTAGCAGGGTCAAACTAGCTCCAAGAACAGACCTCCTAGGATAATTCTGGGCAAGGCTGTAACTATCAATTTATGTATCTAGAGCAGAAGAGTTAGGGGGCAGGAAGAGAAAGAATAAAATGTGAAGGTTCTAAGCTGCTTTAAAGGGATACGGAAGCCCAGAGAAGGCCACTGCTACTACCATGTTACAGGTGTTACAGCAAAAAAAGGCACACATTTGGGATAGTGTTGTTAGTACCCTTTAAATTTTCCCAAGGGAACACCCCATATTATCCCACCCTTGTCATGGCTCTGAAGTGGGTTTCCTTAAGGCTATCCTGGGTCCAAACCTAGATCTGACAACAATCCTCAGAAGCTTTTTTAAGTTGGTGGAGAGAAGATAACACATCCCAGAATCAGGGCTGGAGGGATGTCGGCAGCAATAGTGATGTTCGTGTCAGGCTGAATAGGTTGAATGGTCTCACACTACCTTTGTGGCCCACACTGTTACAGCACCTTCTGTCAGCTGGTGAAACAATCCACTTCATTAGATCCAGGGAACAGTTTAGAGATGGTTTCAAAGCTAATATATCACATTTAATTCAAACCAACAAACAAGCACCTGTTGTGTGCTTAACAGTATAACCACTGAGATAAACTAGTAAAGTTAGAAATCTGTTCCATAGTCATTTTCTAAGGACAAGGGTAAATGGAAGGTGGAACTGAATTTAGTCACCCTGAAACTACAGATCAGAGATCTAATGATAACAACCAATGAAATAGAAAGGAGCAGGAAATGTTCAGTTATCCCATTCTCCTCCATTATGAAAAGTCATTACACCAAAGAATTCACCACGGCACTACTATTCACTTACAAAGAATTTGCAGACTACTCCTATTCCAGAAGGATTGCTGTGCCAAGGATCTTTATTGTACACTTCTCGTGGCAGCTTCCATTTTAAGAACTGGCAACATATAGTAAGAACCCTACAGCTCTCCTGTGAAGAGTTGAAATTGGGAACAAACATCTATTATAAAATAAACAGAAACTAAGACTTGGCAGCCCTACTGAAGCTACCATTGGTACCGAGATCAGCGTTCTGGGTGGGAAGGTCCTTTTCCCAAAAGTTGGTGTTCTCAAGAGCTACATCCTAGGTTAGGATGCATACCTTGGGCAGAAAATAAATGCCTAGTTGATCTGTTAATAAGCACACTTCTGACATGCTTATTATTGTGCACAAGTATGTGCTCTGAGTAGTCAATCTGCTCACCATTCTCCATTCCTTCCTGCCCTAAATGGCATATGTTTAAATTACAGTCCCTGCAACAAAACTGGGCAAATGGTCTTCCTCCCTACTAGCCCAATGGACCCAGAAAAGCCTTCATCATGCCTTCTACTCTTAAGGATTTCACCCCAACATCTTATGTCAGCTAGAATTTCTGGCTTCTGTCTCATCACCCATTTTATTCCTCATTTTTACTAATACTTTTTCCCCCAAGTTCCATTTCATCTCTTCTCCCAGTTCTGATGCCCAGATCTCTGCCATAGCCCTCCTCCCACTTTAGCAAATAGCCCTCCCCACCCAAAAAGGCTCATCCTTAATCCTTGATTTTCTGACAAATTAGTGGCAGGAGGTGATAGGACAGAAGCCAGTATAGAAATGGCAGATCTGGCCCCAAGGTTTAAGACAAGTTTCCAAACTGACAGCCTGACCTTAGGAAGAAATCCTCCATAAATCTCTATGATTTGCTTACTACATGGATGGGAGAAAATGGCAATGGCTCTTACCTCAGCAACAGCATCATCTTCATCTTGCAAATGGAGAAGCAGTGGAATCAAGCTCTCTAGAATTTGGCCCTCTATGTCCTTCTTATCCTTGCATTTCACCTTCTTAATGGAGTCTCCAAAGAGGTTCACAGCCAAAAGATGAATATTTGGTCTAGCCTAGGAAGGAGGTGCCCAAAAAGAGACTCAGTTAAACATAATCACTCTTGTATTGTAGCAATAATCTATTACCACTCTCTTGCTCAAACATCTTCAGTGGCTCCCTATTGCCTACTAAGTAAAGCTGAAAATACTCTATCTTATATTCAAGGACCTCCATTACTTGTGTCACTTTAAACTCTTGGACTTATTTTATAACACTTATTGTGTACTCTACACTCCAGCTAAACTAATCTACTTTCTGTCCCTTAAATGTGTCACATTTTCCTGTCTTTATTTCTTTACTCATACAATTCCTTAAATCTAGAATGCACTCCTTCCTATTCCTCTACTGAATTTCTACCCCATCTTTTATAAGCCAACTGAAATGCCACCTCCTCTATGAAGCCTTCCCTAAATTCTGCCCTCCTACACTCATTGGTAATGACCTCTCCCTTCAGACCTCACACAGCACTTTGCTTTGCATTTCTCTAATGTACCTGTCAGTGTTAATTTGTATTATTTATGTGTACGCTTCATTCTCCTACAAGGCAGTAAGCTCCATGACAGCAGGGATCCTATCTTATCTAAACTTTGTGTGTGTGTCTCCCTAGTACATTGCTCTGTACTAGGGACTTGAATTGGACTAAATTAGGTTGGATTAAACTGAACTCAGATAAATTGCTCACCTAGACAAATCATTCAATAATTCTGCATAATCATTATCTTGAAATTACTTGGCAGAAGAAAGCAAGTCTAAGATGTGTAAGGATCAATAAGACACAGGAGTTGAAAATATTTGGCTATCTGCCTGCATATGAGTAATGGAGCCCCTTCTATCTGTCACCTTATAACTGACATGGAATAACACTACACTTATACCCTATTCATGTTATCTTTCTGTAAGCCAAGCACTCAGCTTCAGCACATTCAAATTCACCAATTAGTTTTTGAAAGTAAAATCAATCTTCCTTTCAATATATCCTCCTTCCCCACCCTGTAAGGGAGCCTGTTGTTGAGAAAGAACACCAGACAAACGCCAGAAAAACTAGATTCTAGTCCTGGCTCTGCATACAACTTATTCTGTGACCCTGAGCAAGTCATTTGACCTTGTGGTGCCTCAATTTTCTCACATATAAAATGAAGATAATAATGCTTATCCTAACTAGCTCATATGTACATCTTTAGCATCAAATTAGACATGGATGCGAGAATGCTCTGAAAATGATAAAACATCTTACAAATGTAACAAATTAGCATTACTAACAACTCTAATCACCATATACATATATATGTATGCATACATAATATGTACATGTGTACATATATCCATGTGAGTATATATATATTCATATATGTGTGTGTATATATATGTGTATATATATATATATATATATATATATACACATATATATGTAAGTACTCCATACTTTGTAAAGTTTCCCTTCCCTTCTTTGTCTTACATCACTAAATAGGGAGAATAGGGCCTGCACAGTAGTTTTGAGTGTAGTAAAGTCCATGGAATCAAGGAGATTTCTGAGTATATTGATGGCCAATAAAACAATCCTTTCATCTGTTTCACTTAAACTGCTTAAGATGACTGGTATCATGCCCTTGATAGCTTCCTCCTGTATACCCCAAAAGAATTCAATTAGAACCTTATTTGCAAAAGTCAATATAATACATATTTCATCTCAGATTGCTTTAGCAAAAGTTATTTACCCTAGTCCTTCTTTAGTGCCTGGTGGTTTGATTCCCAACAGGAAACAATGCCAGGTATGGAGAAAGAGACAGAGACCAGGTTCCCAAGGCATCCTTCAAAGCCCCTAAGGCTATTCCTAACTCAATTCATTGTTTATGGCCAGGTCTGATCAGGATGGAATATATTTCTATGTCTCTGTCTCAATGACTTCTCTTAGATTGTAAGCTCCTGGAGGGTAGGAATAGTGTCTGTTTAATTTGTTTTATGAGCTTATAATAATGATATTTATGATGAGGATACTATTAGCACAGGTTTCATGATTTTAGGTATGTGAGACACTTGAGAGTATTCAATGGTTGTTTACTATACCTGGTAATAAGAGGTTGGGATATACTTTATATATGCTTTAAAATCAGTAATTCTATAGTTCTTTTTATTACAAGGGAAGGTTCTCTGGGGAAAATTGGGAAGTGACAGTGATATAAACACAATTTAAAAAAAAAAGGTTATCAGTAGTTCTGGGACCTCTCTCTCACCTTTTCTTGATGATGACAGAGAAGGTTGTCTATTCCTTTCAGGCTAAGAACTCTGAATTGTTGATTTTCATGGTGCAGCCATTCTTCTAATCGAGTGATGGTATATCTGCTAGGAAGCCTCTTGGCCAGTGGACTCTGAAAAAGCTACATGTTGAATGATAATAGCAAAATGATTGGAAAACTTGCTATTCACTGGAGAGAAAATACCACCCCCACCCCCACTCCCAATCATAGGCTTTGAGATTACAAGTCTATATGAAGCTCATGAAGCTTCTATTGGTAAATTACTAATTTTTTTCATCCTACCCCGGAATATCCAAGATAGAATGGAGAACTCACCCAGCATTATTTCTGGGGCACAGCCTGGAAGAGAACTTATTGTCTTATATCCCTTCTGTACCCTACTTCTAAAGAATGATTCTTACCTCAACAAAGAAGGCCGCAGATGTAAGTCTATGTTTCTCATTCCCTCGATTAAGTAAAGGAATTAGCAAGTACAAGACCTTATGAGCAAGGATATCATGTTTTTCCAATAAAGCACTGTAAAGAAGAGGATTGGGATGATAACCCTATGTCAGAATGGGATTTGCCCAGGAGGTAACTGGAGCCATTGCACAGGGGCCCGTCAGGTAATCTGAACTTTCTGCATGGGATAAAGGTCTAAGAAGGGTGTGACAGTGGCTTGAATTCCTGCAAAATCTGCCTGGTGGCCTAGAATTATCAGTATTTGCCCTGCCTGCTTTGTGGAGGTCTTCCCACAGGCCACATACTATTAATTTCTTTAGGAGGCTAGGCTAAGAAAAGTACCATGACTAATAATGAAACACTAATGTCTTACTGGGCAAGAAGAGACACTCCTTCAAGATGAAAATTTTCTCCTTCTAGAAGATTCCATCCTTTTTTCTTTTCCATGGCATCAAATTCGTACCAACATGCTGTTCTTAGGAGGAGGGTCTTGGTAGCTTGTATAGCAAAGCTGAATGAAAGCAATGCCAGAAATGAATGGATCCAATGTTTTCCTCACAGAAAAATCACATTTACACAACCTAAGCTCCATGCTCTGGTCTCACCACTGAGGGATGAGTACAAACCCTAACAATAATTGTGAACCAGAGAATATATAATTGTATTTCTCTTCATTCCAGCTCCATTAAAATTCCTGTAACACGCAAGAAACCCAAATGGGTAATGTTGCCTGGGAAGACCTTACACTCCTACTTCCTAGCATTTAGAAATCCAATTAATTTTCTTTTGGGGAGGTATGGGGAGAAGACGGGATTGGTGACTATAATATGGGTGCTCTGAAGGATGAACAATACCTACTGCTTTCTAAAACTGTTAAACTGTCCCACTTCTTATACTTATAATAAGGACTTAAAATAAAATATCAGATTTGGAAAGGATATGAGAAATCATCTAGTCCAAGAGGAGGTAACTGAGGCCCAGAGAGAAGAACTGGTTAGAGTGAGGTCACATTGCCAATAAGTGGGAAAGTCAGGACTAGAAGTCATGCTGAGTCTTTCTTAGTCAAATGTGAACTTTGCATTACCATGCTGCTTCCTCTCACAGCACCTTTCCTGAAAGAAGGCAAAATGATACACCAAGGATACCCAAAGGAATTCCCACCAGCCCCATATATAAAGGGTTGAAAAGTCATGAGGCAAAAATGAAATAAAGAACAGCACCATGGAAGTAATATTGTCTATGTCTCAGTGTTAACCTTAGGCACTTCTTTTTACCTACTAAGGTTGTCAAGGACAACCTGTTGGACATACTCTGATACTTCTCTTGTTGTCCCACTCTTTTGCAGGGAGTCTGCTTGGTACCTCTGGGTCAGGCCTAGCTACCAACAAAACGCTACAGGAAGCCAATACATGTGTCTAGTGACCCTCTTATTTTCTCTCTGTCTCATTAACTTTAAACGTGAGTATTATAACTAGTAGTACCTCAAAGGGGTAGAGGTGGAAGTCACTTCTTGCTTGGTATACACACCATTTGGGATAGTGATATCTGACATTGTAAGGCCAATGCTGTGATGAACCTGAATGAGGAGGGCCATGAGGAGTTGCGGGAAAAGTCGATACGTTGCTGCTTGGAGCTTATTTCCCACAAATACCTCATAAAGAGCATCAGTTGCCTGAAGGAAACAGAAAGATACACAACTGAGCATAATACCTGCCCACCCCGGTGCTGATTTCCCATTTCACTTTTCTTCATACCAGCATATCTTACCTTAACCCCTTGTCTTACTGGTATAAGAGAACCTCATCAATATAAGCAAAAGAAATGAGAAAATTGCTCTTTGGTGGACATGCCCTTGAACCCATGCTGTACTTTACTTATGATAGAATTTGTTAAACGTCAGAGCCAAGAGGGTCCTGAAATATGCCCTAGTCCAGCTCCTCCTTGCAGATGAGACAAAACCCATGGAGAAGAAGTGAACTGCTTAAGGTCACACAGTTCAATGATGGCAGAGCTGAGTCTAACCCCCAGGTCTCTTCATTTCCAATTCAGTGCTCTTTCTGCATGGCATTACCACAGGGAGCCTCCAAGAATCACTATCTGAGTTTAGTGTTGCTGAGCCTTGAGAGGAAGAGGGAAGAGGGAGAAGGGAAGATAAAGACAGAAATGACATCCCACCTAGCCACCTTTTTTTAAGGGTTGAGATCTATCCCAACACTTTTTAGTAACTTTAAAGCATCCCAGGTTAGTATTTGAATCCAGCTTTTCCTCTTCTCTTTTTCTTTTCCCTCCCATTTACACTGTATGTATCTTGTATATATGTGGTTGTTTACATGGTGTCTTAGAATATCAGCTTCTTAAGGGCAGGAATTCTGCTTTTACCTTTCTTTGTAACCCTGGCACTTAGTATAGTGCCTGTCAAATAATAAGAACTTAATAAATGCTTGTTGACTGACTGACTCACTTCTTCGGATCAGTAGAAATATATGTTAGGAAGCAGATATATTTGGCATGAGAATTAGAGACATAAGTTAGAAATGAAGATAGGACGAGAAGGTAGCTGTACCAAATTGGTGAGTCTTTTCCCAAGCCATTTACCTTCCTCCCTCCACTTCCTTCCCTGTTCCCCTTGTTCCTTTCCCCCACATAGCACTCAGTACAGCACAGTGGGCTCAATCCATGGGATATAAAAGTAGATAAGAGCTATAACAGGGGTACTCCCTCAGTCTTTGTGCCCTGCTTTCCAGACACCCATGTCTATAACAGAGAGAACTCTACTGAAGACGGGAAAGGACAGAAGATGGGTTACCGCCACAGCTACATAGTCCATCTTTTCCTGATGCACAATGTGACACTTCTGAAGCTTCCGCAGCAGTCTCCACAGAATCCAAGTAGTGCTGGGCAAGTCGACATCAAGAGTCCTCCACAACTCAGACAAATGCCTGAAAATATCCCAAAGACCTTAGACAGAGGGAAAACAATGATTCAAGGAGCTAAAAAAAAACCATCATGTTGTCTGCTGGGAAGCCTCATTATGGCAAAAGTCATTGGTCTCAGTTCAGTTCCCCAGGATATGAAAAAACCCACCTTGTTAGTACCTGTGAGCTATCTACCTCATTAGGCATAGAGATTGGAGTTACTCTCTTCATCCTTATATGGATCTCAGCAGATTTTCTTAATAGTAAGTCATATGGGTTGAACTTTCCCACCTCACCTGGACTGATATCTTTTTTTGCTTGTTTCTTTCTTCTTGAGTACCAGCACTGTTGACTCAAAAGTTGTGGAAGGTGGGGGAGGGGGAGGAAATCATGAACAGGGAGACATGGGAAGAGCCAAGGAGGAAATGGAAGAGCCACCTACGCAGTCATCTCGAAATCTCCTCTGTAAATATGTGGATATCTTTGGTTTCCTGGGCCCCCACTGTCCCCAAATTGTATTGTTCACTTGACAAACTTGATTAGTGCTAAAATTATAGTGTATTCCTTGCCTAAAAAAATATTCTAAGACATCTCAGACAGAATACTAAGCTAGACTACTAATGGGAAAATATGGAAGAGATATCTGAAAGTGTACATGGCAGGAAAAAAAATGCCACTTCTAGAATGAAATGAAGAAATCTCTCTGCTTATCATTATTAATTACCTACAATAAGTCAACTTCTCTGAATTCTTGAGTTATTTCTACAGAGAACAGATGAGGTGCTCTTAGAAAATGGATTAATTCGAGCCATAAGTAAGCGCTTTTTTTTTTTAGTCTGTGGCTTGCTTGTCAATTTGCTGAGAATGCTTCAGGAATAGAATGGGGGAATCTACTAAAACAGGGAAGCCTCCAGGGACTTGAGGAGGACAGACCTTTTAAAAAACATGTGGATTGAGAGATAGAATGGAATAAATTATCTCACATAAGACAGACAAGAAAAGGCTTTTACAGTGGAGGGGAAACGAGGGGGGGGGGGAAGGTGAGAGGGAATAAGTGAATCTTATTCTCATCGGATTTGGCTTAAGGAAGGAATAACATACACACTGAATTGGGTATAGAAATCTATCTTACCCTACAGAAAATGGGGGGGGAAGGGGACAAGAGAGCAAGAGGATGATAGAGTGGAGGGCAGATTGGGGGAGAGGGTAATCAGAAGCAAACACTTCTGAGGAGGGACAGGGTCAAAAGAGAGAATAAAATGATGGGGGGCGGGATAGGATGAAGGGAAATATACTTAGTTTTTCACAACATGACTACTATGGAAGTGTTTTGCATGACTACACATGTATAACCTGTATCGAGTTGCTTGCCTTCTCAATGAGGGTGGGTGGGGAAGGAGGAATGGAGAAAATTTGGAACCCCAATTTTAAAAACAAAAGTTAAAAAAATTGTTTTCACATGCAACTGGGAAATAAGATATATAGGAAATGGGGTACAGAAATCTATCCTGCCCTTGAGGAAAATTGAAGGGGAAGGGGATAAGAGAAGGGGGGGAGAGATAGAAGGAAGGGCAGATTAGGGGTATTTAGAATGCATGCCATTTTAGGGGGTGGGGGGAGGGATGAGATGGGGAGAAAATTTGGAACTCAAAATCTTGTGGAAGTGAATGTTGAAAACTAGAAATCAATTAATTAATTAAAAAAAAACCCATGTGAATTGGAGAGAGGACACAACAGATAGAGCTGCAGCTGCCAAAAGGGTTAGAGACAGAGCTTAGAACCAACTGCACTATAAAGAGAAACTGACCATTAGTAGAGGAGAGAAGCGCCCTACCATTCAGCTTACCAGCTGCTACCATAAACTTGAGGTACCTTGTGTAGTGAATGTGTACACATTACACATTACTCTAAGCCCAGACTGGTGAATTAGGCTTTCTGATGGGCTTGACATTGCCAAATAGTGTAGAGTTAGAGATAAAGACTAGACCTATGATTTCATATAAGGAATATAAAGAACTTATGGATGAGGAAACTCCTTCTACTAATAAATTTATAGTCTTAGAGAGTTGCCTAGAGTATTAAAAGATAAAGTGATCTGCTGAGGTCACATGGCCAGTATATATGAAGCAGGGTTTGAGCTAAGATCTTCCTGGTTCCAAAGCCAGTTCTTTATCTAATAACCAATGCTGCCTCTCATAAGAATATAGTATTTCTCCCTCCAAAATATAGCATTCAATACACAGACATGGTCAATACTGAAAACAGTTAAGAATATAGAGGAGCAGAATTCCAGAACTATCAATATACAAATTATTTAACAGTATATGTATATATGTATATTTTATACTATATATATGAATATGTGTATATAAAATTTGCCAAGAACACAGGAATGGCTAAGTTTCTTTACTAAATTGTTTCTACTCTTACCACCCCTCAAAGTCCTTATGTGATCCTAAGGATCAAGTAGAGGTCCTTGGAGAGCTCCTTTACCTGTCAAATGGAATTGGATGAAACAAAAGGTGGTTGAGCACCACATCTGTATACTTGGGCCTGGAGATGAACAGGCTCACAACGCTCAAGGCCTGCTGGCGGGCATTAGGTTGACTGATGACGGGCAGCCGGACGCAAATAGCTCCTATGATGTCCGATACCTGAGATGAAAACAGCAAGCTACTACAACCTTGCCACTGCGTGTGACTGGATTTTAGTGCCATTCTTGTGGCCTCTAGAACTAAGAGAGGAACTCTCTAAGGCAACAGAAGACAGAAAAATGGGATACTCCTCTATCCTATCTTTTATGCAAATATGTGATAACATGTGAGTTAATTTTTTTCTCCCAATGAGACTATAAATTACTGAAGGGTAAGGCCCTTGTCTTAAATCTCTTTTGTATTCCTCTCATTATGCACATAGTAAATACTCAGCTCAACAAATGCCTACTTACTAAATGAAATAAAGAAAGCTTGGACACTGGTACAGCCTGAGTGAAGTTCTGGGCCAGGGTCCCTCTAGCAGCTACACTGTATCCTCTAACATAAGGCTTAATAGCCTAGCTTCAAATGGGACCACAAGCTTTAAAATTGACCTAGGCAACTAAGCGACAGGTTTGTTCCTCACACTTCTGATACAGAAGCTTAGTTCCCATGAATCTCTCACCTTCTCAAATCGTGTTTCAGCACTTTTAACCAATGTCACCAGCAACTCTCCTGCTGATTGTTGAGTACAAGGATGTTTCAGATTTTTCAGTCCATCCAAGGTAGTCACTATAAACTGACCAAGTTCATTTGGACTGAGAAAAACTTCAAAGACCTGAAACACATGGAGAGAAATGAACTCTCAGAAGTAGGGTCTGGTATAAAAGAGCCCCAAACCAAGAGCCTGTATCCTGGGCCTCTAGCTCCATCTGTCTCTGCCATTAACAAGCTCTGCAAAGTTGGGCAAATCACTTATTCTCTCTGAACTTCAGATTCTTCATCTGTAAAAAATTGTTAAAGGTCTCAGTAATGTAGGCTCTAATTAATAAATAACAATAAGGAATTAATAGATGGGTTTAAGCAAAGATTCTTAACTTAGGATCCATGGACTTTTTAGGGATCCATGGATAGAGTAATATCTGCCCCACCTACCGTGCAGGTTTATTGTGAGGATCGAATGAGATGATGCATGTTTAAAGCATCTAAAGAAGCATAAAGTGTGATATAAATGAAGGTGATTCCTTCCTTGATTCCTACACTGCTATATAAGTTGTACAAACTGTTTCCATCACAAGGACCCTGGAGTAGGTGTATAAGCTTTATTATCTGCATTTATAAAGATGAGAAAACTAAGGAACAGAGATGAAGTGACCTGCTCAGGATCACATGTGTTTGACCTGAGACTCAAACTTGGATCTTCTGACTTTAAAACTAGTGGTCTTTACACCACACCCAGTTGTCTAACAAGGTGCAATTATTGATTTCCCAGAGGCTAGAAACATGACTTGAAGAAAAGAAGGCTTAGATTTAGACAAAGTACTTTATCAAATCCTTTTGTACCATCCCTGTGCCTCAAATCATTCAAGTCAAGTCATATTAAGTCAATCCAAAAACTTGAATCTTTGACCTGGGAAAAGATGAGAATATTTACAGGCAAAGTGGTGGAGGTAGGGAGAGAAGAGCTTCTATAATATTCAAATAATTCTTTCTTCAGACCAGGAGTTCCTAACCTTTTTTTGGGTCATGGACCCCTTTGGTTTTTTGGTGAAATCTATGGACCCTTTTCAGAATAATGTTTTCAAATAACTAGAGTAAATAGTAAATTTCAGTTAGATGGTAATGAAAACAAAGACGTAAATTTTTTTTCCCATCCAAGTTCTCAGATCCTCTAAAAAATATCCATGTATCCCTTCAAGGTCCAAGGGTCTTAGGTTAAGAATCTTGCTTTAGACCCATCTGTTAACTCTTTGTTATTAGCTTTTAGGTAAACATTTCCAAGACTTTCAACAATACATACTTTTTTTAGGAGAAGACTAATAGATCATGACTCTATTTAGGGTAATATCTGTAATCCATCATAATTATATAGTATTTATTCTCTAATACATAGCACTGTACAAAGAGAAACTACTGATCTTCATAAGGAAACATGATCTACTTTTGATCTAATTTCAGTACAATCTATTCTTAGGAAATACTTTTTTTCCCAGTAGCAAAGGCTGGATATTTAGGATTGCTTAGGAGGTATTTTTACTTAGGTACAAGTTGGCCTTGATGGCTTGTGAAGTCTCTCAGCTTTGAGACTTGGGGATTTGATGATTCTGTGATTGTACTATATTTTCTACATTCCGTCATCCATTCTAGACAGGGCCATGCTTTTGCCAATACAAATGACACACAATTGCTTGGGGTTAGGGGTGCAATCTGTGAGAGAAGAATTGCATGGTTCATTCCTATGCAGTCTTCCATGAGCAGGGATCCAACCTGCGATCTTGGCCTCTTTCACATCATCTTCTAACTAACCAAGCAGACTAGGCCAGATATATGAGGAGTGTTGAGAGAAACCAAGCACCTGTCTTCCAGAATCATATCAATTACCTGTGCAATTTTGAAGGGGTTGCTGTAGAACTGTTTTATGCTGCAAATTTCTAGGAATTCTTTACATTTTTTCATTGCTTCTTTTAAACTCTGGCGATTCCTTTTATCATTAGTGATACCTGAAAAATACATGGAATATGTTGCATACTTTCCCCTTTGCTTCTTTTCTCAAGATTTTATAAATTAATGTCCAGGGACTGAAAATCTTCATCTAATCCACAACTGAAGATTAGTATCTCCATGCCCACTTTACAGTGTTTTTAAAACTATGATTTTATTTTCGCCTGATAATACATACAATTGTCTGCCAGCTTCTCTGAGGCAGTCACAGATTGGCAACTGTTCACAGACAACTGGGCTACAGATTTTTACTTGTAGACTAAGACACAAACTATCTTAGCAGGTAGTCCTAAAGAGAAAAATATCAATAGGAAAGATGGAGGGATGTGTGTGCATGGGGTAGAAGGAGGTTGGTTTGGGACAAGAGAGGCATAAGATGACAATCTCATGGGAAGAGCAGGGATTCCAGACTGAAGACTAGCTCTAAACAGAACAGAGTGGATACTACCCTTTCTATTTGTTTCTATCCCAAGTTTGGCCAACACAATCATCCAGGTCAGTACCCTGCTGATTAGCAGACAGCCCCAGGATACTGTGGCTCCTGTTGCATTGCTGATGTGCACAGTGCACTGTGACCACATACATTCCAGTGATTTTACTATTGCCTCTCAGATAAAATACAAACTACTCCATTTGGCATTTAAAAACCCTCCATAATCTGGTTCCAAGATGTATGATTACACTGATTTCACATTTTACTCCCTCTCAAATACTCTCCATCCCAACCAAATGGATACACTTTTCTGGTCCCAAAATTCTACTTCCTGCATCTCTTCTTTTGCACAGACTCTCCCCCACGAGTGGTGTGCTCTCTCTTATGCCTCTTGGGTATACTCACTTCCTTCAAGGCACAGCTCAAATGTTACCTTCTACACTGAGCCCTTCTGGATCTCCACCTCCAACTCCACCCCAGGCACCAGTGCTTCTCCCTGCCCACAAAGGACTTTGAATTTCTTTTGTATAGAGTCCCTATTTACTTTTCTGTGTATATGTGGGTCTTCATTTCCTAAAACAAATAAGCTACTTAAGGGTGGGGGCTATTGATATTTGTTTTTTTATCCCCAGTGTCCAGCACAGACCTTGACAATCATTTGACAAATTAGCTTTTATTAAGTATCTACTATGTTTCTTGCAATGTGCTAGATGCTAGCGTACCCAAATATAACGAATGAAATAATCTATTTAAAAAGAGCTTATACACACAGTAGGTGCTTAATAAATACCTGCTGAATTGAATAATAGCAACCCATATTTCTAGAGCCTTCTAAGGTATATAAAACACTTTCCTTACAACAGCCTTGAGAAGCAGGTAAGAAAAATATTATTATAGGTGATTTTTGCCTAGGGTCACAAAGTACCTAGTGTTAAAGCTGGGATTCAAATACAGGTATTCTGACACTGAATCCAGCATTCTTTCTACTGTAGCATATTGTCATATAGATAAGTTTGACCCCTCAAACCATCCTGCTAGCTGGTATGTAGACTCTGGTGGCTTAGACTTTCTCAGCCTATGACTGCATTGCTTAGTCTCTACCCAGGGACTGTTTGACTTGCCTGTCCTCTTTTCTAGTTTTTTTTTTTTTTTTTTAAGCTTTCTGCAGTGGAAAGAATGAGGGTGGGGAGAAGTAGCTTGTTATTGCCTAGAGAAGAAACCACTGAGGTCCTGCTGGGTTTCGGTGTTTTCTTACACTTCAGCCTCAGGGTGATGTGCAGCAGGTAGTGGGTGCCCTCCGCAGCCTCTTGAGCCACTTCCTCCACTGGGTCCCCACAAAGCAGGGCCATCAGAGCCACCAGGTTCCCCAGTTTTTGAAACTGCAGAGGAGGCTAATGAGGAGGGAAAAGAGAAATGAATGAGTTAGCACCACCGGATCTCTTTGGACTTGGTCTCCTGGTACTGTACTTCAAACTTTACATTACAGTTGACATGATTACATCTTAATGAAGGGCGGGTTTTGTTAGCAGCCCGCTGACCTCTCTCTGTTTGACTATAATTAACAACTGTGGACCCAGAGTCACCCACACCCAGCAGGCAGTATGAAAACAAGGAACTCCTAACCTAAGATGAGCATTTCACTCTCTTATTAAAACATCACTCTTGCTAACCGCTTGGGCCTTGCTTGCTCCTTAGCTAAATTGCCTGGGTTTGACTGCCTGCTTTCTTAGAAGGTCAGGATTTTGGTCATGGGAATATTCATAGGATTTAGAGCTAGGAAGGACCTTAGAGATCATTGAGTCCAATCTCCCCACTTTCCAGATGAGGAAACTGAGATCTGGAGGAGCTGAGTAGCTTACACAGGGTCATACATCTAGTAAGCAGCAGATCTGGGATTCGAATGCAGATCCTCAAACTCCCAAGCAAGTGCTCTTTCCATTTCACCATGCTGTTTCTCACATCTGTCAGGTGTGCTTCAGGGGCTGTGACCCTATAGGCCATTCCCATGTCATTGCTTTCCACCCCTCAGAAAGGTAATACCTCACAGGGGCTCACATCCAGGGCCCTTTTTGGGGTGGTCATAGAAAAATGGGAAATATAGCTCTTTGGGGGCCAAGAGTAAAGAATCCAAAGCTTCACACTGAATCTACATTTTAGTCTAGTCCCTATGAGGCAAAGGTACTGAGCTGGGCTTCTAGTCTGTTTCCAAAATACTCCTTTGATAAGAAACTCTGAAGATTCCACTGAATGGAAAGGGATTAAATGGATGGGAAGAGTCTAAAGAAAGATCTGTCTTCCTTAAACTGCAGCCAAGATGAAAGGTAGAGAAGGCAGCTCTATTCAGAACAGTAAAATATCAATTTAGGAAAGGAGCTCAATTATTAGAGTCAGAAGAAATAGACCAGTCACTTGAGTCCAAAGGGTCACTTCTTTTTATGCTCTGGAATAGAAGAAAAAAGGAAGTGATACAGTTTGTGTATCACTTCAGTGGACAAATAAGGATACAGGATAGCTTGTTTATCTTTTCCGTGAGAAAAACAAAGAAGCTTGTACAATCCTGCTACATTTTCTCAGAGGTAGGATGGTTTCTGACCCACTTCACTCCCTAATTCAAGGGTGGCTTACTTGCAGGTTGAGATGTCTAGATAGGCATCCCAGCATTTGAGACATGCTGACTGTAGCTCTTTCACGTTCGTGGTCTTTTGCTGACTGTAACCATGGCTCCATGTGCTGGAGGAAAACGGGACAGCAAAGGCATTAATAAAATTCAATGGGACAGATAAGGGATTCCCCAAATTACCTTTACTCAAATCACATGAGAGTTAGGAGGCAGGACCCCCCCCCATGCTCTTCTGTAACTGTCATATTATTTTTTGAATATAGAAGTTATGCAATAGAGTTGGAACAGGAGATATAGTACAAAGAGCACAGGCCAGACGTCAAGAGGCCTGAATACTGCAGCTAACTAGCAGGATCACTTTGGGCAAATGACTAAATATTTGAGTGCCTCAATTTTATTACATATAAAATGGGGATAACAATAATTTCCTCACCTACTTCAAAGGGTTGTTGTGAGAATCAGCTGAGATAATAGATGTAAAACTTCTTTTTAAAAGTATTAAATGTTACATTAGCATAGCTTAGCATTACTGCTTTTTCTGGGGTGAGATCACCTGTTACACACTTCCTATATGGATAGGAGTCCAAGTATTCATATGATCCTTGGTGCCTAGGACACAGGGCCAAAATTTCTTCCTTTATCTTTCCCCCCCACTAATAATAATTTCATTTTCCACTTCACTGTAACTTCAAATTTAGCAATTTAAACTCACTTTCACCCTAATCACCTTGAGAGAGAAATGAAAGTTGGTTTACAGCTTGAATCATCTAATACTTTCTCTTTCACTTGAGATTTAGTCTCCAAATGTCTAGCAACTCATGGTAGGACTATGTTGTGAGGTTCTTTTGCCTATAACATATTGCATTCCTTGGTTTCCTTTCATTATTCCAGGCATAATTCCATACCATTTAAATAAGAAACCCCTAGTACCTAGGGCATCTTTACTTGGGGCTAAATTCATCTACCTCACAAGGAATGTTGGAAGACTAAGCTATGATGATATATGTAGATGATACAGGTACATTAGCCACATTGACCGATGAGGAACCTAAAGCTAATAACTGAGTAACCTGTCCAATGTCACAGAGCTAGTACACGGCTAAGCCACAAACACAGGTCTTTTGACTTCTTGTCCATTGCTCTTTCCAATATATTTTGTGCTGTACAAAAGCTCATTTTGGAAGGAAGGGCATCTTTGATCTTCTTTCCAGATCCTGGACCTTGATACACTGTAGCTACCGAGCAGCACTAAAACTGTCCCCAGGCTATATGGTTAAGACCTAGATGCTATCTCCTTTACTCTCTCTCTGTGGTAAAGTTCTACTAAGAGTTAAAAGGTGTGATCTGTTTTGTGACCATTATTATATTCATAATATATTGTCAGATTGCACTAGCCTCTGTTCACATCAACAATATATTCAAATATCTGTTTCTGCATAGAAACATAAACATCAAATTTCATAACTGTTTGCTATTTTTTCCCATTCTAGTTGAGTATAAAGTTTCCTTGATTTGAATTTCCCTGATTATTAGGGAATTTGAGCATCTCTCCACATGGTTATGCAGTTTATATTTTCTCCTTTGAAAACTGTCCCTTAATTTCCATTGACCATTGCTCCATTGTGGAATATACACATCACCAATTTTAAAGATATGTAATGATTTCATATGGATTCATATGGTCAGAACTTTAACAAATATTTTGACTGTAAATATCTCTCTAGTTCATTTATTTTCTTTTAATATTAGAGGTATTTCTTTTTGTTGTATGAAATCTTTTTTATTTGTGAATAATCAAACTCACTATGTCTCTTAATAATCCCTTCCCATTGTTTCAGTGATAAAAAATGTTTTTCCACTCCATATTTGGGACTTAATCTATTATTCCTTTTTCTCCTAGCTTTTTAAGTTGGAGAATTTGTTCCATTTACATAGCTTTACAATTGTTAGGGTTTTTTTCTTAATTATTCTATTGGAAGTGAATATACACTTTCTTACTCTTATCCTTTCTGTTATTAACCTAAGTAAACTTGACAAAACCATTCCAAAGGAAGCTCCAGCCAAATGGCTGAGTGTTTGTAACTAAGCAGCTTCTCTGTATCACCTTAAAACATGGGCAAAGATACCAAATAAAATAAAAGAACAGTGAAAAAAGATGGGACAGAAAGAAATTCTAAAAAGAAAAACTTCACAGTAAAACTAACAGAATGACTAAAGAAATGAATAAACAAAAAAGCTCTAATATAACAAATAAACAAATAAATATTATGGGGCAAAAGAAATGCAGGTATAAGCTCTGCAATGAAAGAGTAAGACTACAACAACTCTAGACTCTGGCTGGCGCAGAAATGTTAGAAGGCGGCAAAGCCCAACAACCCATATGGTGGTTTATATAAAGGAAGCTCTGGCATCTGTAAAACTGGCAATAAAACTGCTGAGAGAAGAATTCAGAAGACTGATGTGAGAACTAATGACACAGAAAAGAAAATGGAAAGTTTCAATGAAGCAGTAGACTCTGAGTGGAATGGCACAGGAAGAAAGAAAGAATTCATTGTCAAAAGAACAAATAGCGGAATATTTTTTATAAAAGGCAAAACTGGAAGAGACCTTCCGATCACTACAAGATAAAACAAGTACTAAAGGACAGAGCTCAGCAAGACTATCTGAGAATGATTGGTATTCCAGAAAAAAATTACAAAGTCTGAATACCATATTCTAGAAAACCTTACAAGAAAATTGCTCAGAAGTATTGAAAACACAAGGTAGCATGCAAATCAATATATGCTTTAGGATGTCAACAGAAAGGAATGAGAAATTTAAATCACCTAGAAATAGGGTCATGAAGTTCTAGAGCTTCCATGTGGAAGAACATTACAAGTAGCCAAGATGAAGCAATTCATGTGTAAGAACATACTAATTGCACATGTATAACCCTATATTTGATCACTTACCATCTCAGGGACAGGGGAGGGGAGGGGGGGAAGGAGGAATAGAATTTGGAACTCAAAACTTTAAAATAAAAACGTGAAAAAACTGGGAAAAAAAGAAAATACTATGAATTTCACAAGATGATTCAGCAATGATGAGAATGAAAAGGCTAGAATGTGAACTGTAATGTAATATAATAGATGTATGTATATATGTAATACATATATACTGTAATATATATAATGTATATAATGTAATAATGCAATAGAATGTAAACTGTAATGTAAACTGAAAAGTAAGAAAAACCAGTCTGACTTCCAATATTATAGATTCTTCTAAACTAAGCATATGCCATCCAGAGAAAAGCTGGTTCTGCCCCTCCTCTTCCTTGTTCTCTGGTGTTTCTATCATGAGCTTAGTCACCAGAGGGAATGACTGAAGTTACAAGGCACATGGAAAAGGCAACGAGCATTTTCTTTCAGCCTAAAAAAGCCTCAGTGGAAGATCCTAACTAAAAAGGAGGGGTATGGGGAATACTACGTGTACCCTGTGGTAGAGAAGAGGTAAATGAAATTGAATTTCTCTAAACATGGCAGGGAGTAAGAACTGGGGACCTTTGATTTAGAAGAGCAAGTTGGGTTTTGCTCACTTTAGCTAACCTTTTATGTGCCCATAAACAGTGCTATTGGTATAATTAAAAGTGTTTTAAATGTAGCCCCAAGGTATGTTGGCCTAGATAATTTCATTCTAAAAGAACTATAAGAGATGAAAACAATGTTTATTCTTGGTTTCAGAGAACTGATGATGAAATATGCATCTCGTTTTGATAAAGTAATACAGACGATATAGGTATAGAGTGTTGCAAATATAATTACTACATTGGCTTATTTTGTTTGACAATTCTTTGGCATAAGAGAGGATTCTGTTGGGGGAAGTGGGATTCTGTTATTGGAAAGTGATGGTGGTACAAAAAACAAAAAGCATCCAAAGAACATTTTTCAAAGAACTCCAACACTTGGTCCAGAGAGTGCATGGCAGGTATAGAGGTGGGGGCATAAAAGAGTAGCAGCAAATCATTGCAAGATAGCAAGTGATGCTAAACTTATTACAGGAAAGAAAAACCTTCTGGGGCAACTCAATTCAACTCAACGAGCATTTATTAATTACTCACTTGAGCCAGGCATCATCCTCTAGATTGGGGATACAAAGACAAAAATAAAAGTCACTCTCCTCTAGAGGCCTTTCGAAGACAATGCAGACAGTCTTCAGACAACCACTAAGGGGAAGTAAGAACACTACAAAAATTGCCATGATTGGTCAGGACTGGGTAGAGGCCACAAAGCTTTGAATGTGGGAACTGAGAGAGATCAAGCTATGGAAGTGGTGATGTTAGCAGCAGTGAGGGAAGTGATCAGATTCCAGGGGAAGCAAGAAAACACTCAACACAGAATAAGCCCTTCACTGAGGTCTCTATCAATTCAACGATACTAGGACTTCCCTTAATGCTTCACATATCGTTGCTGTAAACTTCAGCAGAGACTAAGACCAAACCATTCCGAGGGAAGGGTAATAATAAACAGCCCTCATCAGGAAGTTGGACTGTAACTATTCTTATTCCCTTTTTTAATAAAGGCAGTAAGAACTGCCTGATGGACTGGTAACCAGTTCCTTCTCTGCCCTTTACTGTTTTAACTATTTTATGTTGAAATGCCGATTGGAAACATTTTGCTTTCAGGGACTCTCCCTAAAGGTGAGCCAAAACAAAGCCAGACCCTGAGATGCCCAAAGGAATATCTGAGTAAAAGCAGAAGTCACAGATGTTATTAATCATGAATAACTTCTAAAGATGAACTTGAGTCTTGAGTCCAATTTGGGTAGTGGACCATATATTACCTTGAGATTCATGAATCTTAACCTATCTTCCAGGTCCATCACTTAATTCCGCATGTTTTCCAATTCTTTGGATAATTCAGTGATTTCTGCTCCTGTTATTTTCTCCAATTAATCTGCAGTGGCAATACCTCTATTTTCCACTGAAATAATCTGTTTTGGATTCACTCTCTTGATTCATTCAGAATTTACATTATATTCTCCATATTGATAATTTTCTTCATTACTTCGTCCTGAACTTTTTTTTAATTACAGCCTGAGTTTTTTTTTTTGCAAGATTTTAAACTTAATC